TTATAAAATAATTTTTATATTACATTAAATATAAAAAGGAATACAAGGAGTGTTAAAAAAATAGGAAGACAAATATATGTAATAGCATTATTTAATGATGGAAAGGTTAAGTCAGATATTATGTTTGATGAAATATAATATTCATCTGTATTAAGATCCCTTTTACACCATATTTTTTCCTCACCATCATGGTTTTGTAATTGATTCCATAAGACCTCTATTTTACTTTCCCATAAATTTTCCTTATCAGATGAAGAACTCTCTAGGTTTATATATTTTTTATTGTTTAACCAATCGTTCAAAGAAGCACAAGTATTCAAGTTTTTTAGCTCTCCCGATGTCGTGCCAATGAAATGATCGAGACAACAACCAATTATAAATAAATCAGGATTTGTATTTTTTAATTCTTTTAATATTTCATTTTCATAAGGTGTATCATCTATAACTCCTGTTTTCAATTTTTGACATACTTCCTCTATGGCTGCAGTATTTTTTGTAACTCTCTAAGAAAATAAATAGTAAAAAAATAAGAGAAGTATACAATATTTAAATAATCATTTAATGCACAAAATAAACAGTTAAATATATTATAATTTATTTGTATTAGTAATTATACTAACAAGAAGCATAATCTTATTACTTGCTCCATCTTATAAAATTTATGGGATAAGATTAGGTAATAGAGTTCATGATTTAGTAATTTCGTTATGTTTATATAAAAAATGGTATATGCTTTCTAATATCATTTATTGTAATTTTACATTATTTATACATAAAAGTGATGTCTAATTTTTAATAATTATTCAACAATATTTAACGGTTAAAATGGATTTATAAATTAATGTAATATCGTTTTATAATTACACATGTTTTTTCTATATTTAACCTATATATATATTAGACGTAGATTTGTTGAAACCTATGAACTTATTTGGAAATATTTGCGGTAATAACTTTTCCATATAGACATAAACTTAGTAAAAAAGTCGTATTATACAATATATATATTCCATGTATTAACACTTTATATTTCTATAATTTTATCAATTATACTGTCTAGTATAAGTTTTTAATAGTATAGCATCAGTATATTCCATAAATCATAAATTTTAGAATATAATTGGTTTTTATATTTTTCTTACTGCTGGTTATCCAATAATAAATTACTTACATTATGATATATACCTTTTTTTTTTGCCGATTATATAAACTGAAATTATATTTATTCAATATTATCAATGAATGGTATTGATGTTATAAAAAAAATAATACTTTCAGAATATATTCAATCTCACAATTAAAAAACAATTATTAGGTGAAAATATATTATTGAAGTATAAGCTTGTATTAGTATATATAATATTATATGATGCTTACCTCATAATTGACTTGAATTTAATGAACACGATATAAGAAATATGAATTATATATGTCACATATTAAATCATAATAATTCAGTATACATTTTATATTAATTATGATAAAGTTCATATTTTTTAAATGAGTAATTTTTTATTCACTAATTTTTTTTTTTTAAATTTATAAATAATTTATGCCAGACAAACTTTTACCAGTTGTCTTTGCAAATATATAAATTTATAATAATTAAAAATTATAATTTTTTCATAAAATCATCATCATCTATTTTTTAATGCAAGAAATATTCTATTTATTTATAGAAGGAAATTTATGTTGTGTTCAGTATTCGTTCTTGATTGTTAAATTGTATTCATTATTATAACATACCGGGATATAATATTCATTCATAATTATAATTTTTACGACTATTAATTTATAAAAATAATAGACTTGACAAAGTATAAAAAGTAATTTATGAAGCTGAAAATTCAATGCTATGGAACAAGGAAAAACATATATAAGTGATTTTATTTAACGTCATGCTGAATAATGAAAACAGAGAATATAATAGATTTACAAAAAAATGTTATGCAAATTTTATTTTATTGCCTAAATTAATAATTAAAAAGAGTCTATTATTGAAAAAATATTTTTTTATAAAATATGTAAATAATTAGATCGACGTAGATAAATATGACGAAGCATAAAACTTCTATTGAGAAATATAAGGGAGATGAGTACATCTTTTACTTAATATTGAAACGAATATATTAAATGATATGGATAAAACATTTTTTAAAAATATGAGGTATATGAGGATACAAAAAATGATAATTCATGTAAAAAAGTTTAAAATCGGGGCCAATTGGACATAATAGGTTGAGGTAAATTTTCAATAAATTAAAAAAATATATTAAATAAAATGTAAAGATTATCTGAAATGGGACGAAGTGGCGATAAACACATGCGGCGTTGGTTTATTCTTACACACTACCTCATAAGGTTGCACAGTGCAAAAAAAAATTCATAAATAAATATATACTTAATTCATCTGAAATAAAGATAGATGAAATATAAGGTATGTAAAATTGGTAAGGAATCATCAAATGATAAATGCAAAATATATAATTTCAAAAAATCCATTGTAAATAACAACATAAGGGAGTAAAATTAATCGTTTGCTTAAATATATCATGTTGAAATGAGAATTATGTGTTGTGCTTAGAGCGAAATAATACAGTTTCAAATTTTTATTGTATAATAATTGTTACTGCATATATAAAATTCTAACTTGTCTTACTTGGATAATTAATTCCAAAGTTCCATTAAGAAAGGGAGGAAAATGATTTCGTATAAGCCATTATTCCTCTAAGCCGCATTTGCACAATTGTTTATAAATGAATATAGACTTTCAATTCAAAATTATTCATTTCTTAGACATTCTAAAAGACATAGCTATATTGAGGAAGTTTGATATTATTTTCTTATGAATCAAAAGTCACATTATATTATACCTACATTACAAAGGGCCTCATATTTTTAGTGCTATATTTTTAAAAATCAAAGAAAATATCGTTGAATATGAATGCACTAAAGGATATAATAACAAATCTCGTACATAACTGCTGTATTATTTATCATGTATAAAATTTATAAATTGTGATAACCTCAATTTATTTTTGAATTTAAGCACTTGTATATTTTGCTATATGAAATTTTTATGAAAAAAAGGAATTACAGTTTTATTTATACATCTACGGAAAGTTAATCAAAGACTTTTGTAATTCGCGAAATCCTTAAACATATTTTTTACATAAAAAAGAACACCTATGAAGTAATAATAATATGAATAAATCTAATATTTTTCCATCATAATTTAAAAAATCCCTATAAACACACAAAACTGATTGTTGCATTTACATTAAAACTCTTTTTGTTATATATAATGATTAAATGAATATATATCACAGAGGTATAAATTAAAGATTTCTGTATTAAATTAGAAAATATTAAAAAATCTAAGAAAATATATTAAAAAGGACGTTTAATAATGTCCCACAAAATATTCTATTCATCTATATTTTTAGTGCTTTAGTTTCATTTTTACATACAAATTTTCAACTGTAGTTACTATTTTCATTTTCTTTCTTTGAAATGTACAAAGTACGCGAATTTTTTAGATTAAACCTACTAATTTTGTACTATAATTTTATTATTTTTATTTACAACAAAAATTTTATCGCACGTATTTTCCTTTTCAAAAAATTTAAAATAATAATTTAATGGAAAAACTTATTTTTCTTTTGTTATATATAATCACATTTGAATAATATTTAGAGAAAGTTTTACAAAAGTTCATACTATTTTGTAGTTTCCTCTTACCATATGTAAACAGATCTCAGAGATATATGCATAAATATATATCAGTAATGATCAGACAATGTTGTTTTGTCATATCAGTATACAATATTATACTTTTTAATATTTCACAATGTTTTAATAATCTTAATTATATTACATCTTTAATAAATTTTTTTGAATATTACATGTATATATAACACCTTATGAAGCAATATTTACGCAAAAGTGTAGCGTATATGCTATAAAAACATAATGATACTTTTGAACATACAAATTATTATATGTTTACTATATAAATCAACATTCTATTAATAATTATTATTCATTTAATTAAAAAAATAATGAAGCAAAAAAAACAACAAAAAAAAAATGTAAAATAAAACTAAACAAACGAAAAAAAAAAAAAAAAAATTTAATTACAACAATTGATGTATAAAAAAACATAGGTGCAAAATAAATTTTGCAAATATAAATGCGACATATACATAATATACTTTTATATTCATGATCATGCCTAAATTAATTTTTCAAATAAAATTCATGGTAACATTACGGCACATAATTATCATATTTCCCACAATTCTACCGAATTTGTCGTACTATAATATATCTAAATTATAATCCAAATATTTTTATTTAGTTAATAATCTTCTATCCTGATGTATATATATAATGTATCATAATTTTCTCCTAACTAATGTGGCACCGTGTTTATACTCATTTTTTAAAAATTATATAAACATAGTTTAATTCTTTTGTGTTTAATTTCTTTTATTTTTTATGATATTAGACGTTTTAGATAAAATTCGTAATCTTTCTGTCCGCAAAAGAATAAATTTTTTTATCTTTAGTATTTTGTTATTAATAATGAATAGTCGAATAACAATACTACTGCTTTTTATATTATCACAATAAATAGCTTCTCGTTCTATATGTAATCAATAATAATAATATTATAGAGAATGATGAATTAAATATAATCTCCTTTCTTGTGCATCTAAAAACATAGAATCTGAATCATACGTTGATGATTCCTCATCAAATTCCTTATGATAATTATTCTCATTTTTTTTTTTGTCCAATTTTTTTTTGAGAGATATTGACCCTAATTTAGTAGACTTAATAAAAAAATGAAAATAAATAGCAATTTTAAATGTATGCACATTCTTGTTATTCAATTAAATGATATATTAATTATATGATCTTACATAATATTCTTATATATAGCAATTAAATATGTAATTACCCTGTGGTAATATAAAAAAAAAAGAGTTGCTACAAGTATTGAAGCAGTTGTAATAATTTTACTAAAAAGTTTCATGTTCAATTTATCATGTATTGTTTCTGTAGTACTATGGTAATCAGTAATTGTTTCATGTTCTGGGCTTCCATTGTGTAATGTATAAGGTGCTAATCCATTAAGTAACTCTTCATTGCTCTTAATTGATAAGAAAGTTAATCGTTCTTTATCTTCAGTATTCACCACTTTTTTACTTGCTTCATCTTGTTTTTTATCTAATAACTTAAGGGATTTGTTTAATTGAAGTAATAAATCCTTTGTATTGTACTTTCTTTTACATTTAATGGAAGAACTGCAAATATACGGGTATAATTCTTCTTTATCACAGCAGTCTTCAATTTTATTTTTATATAGAGGATCAATATACGTAACATAGTTCACATATTTCTGACATGTATCCTTATTTGGAACATTATTTTTAATGTAATCAAAATTTTCAAAATAGTCATATAAAACCTTATCTTCATTCCATATGTTAGGATTTCCAAAATCATTGCCATTGCAAGATTCATCTACTTTAAATTGTGAAATATATAATGATACTAAATTAAAAAGTTTCCCAGCAGCAGGATAATTGCGATGTGTATTATTTCCCTTATAATATGCTTTCCTTATCTGGTCGTGGAACCAGTGCTGAAAGTAATGACAACCATTCTTTTGTTCTTCTTTGTCTGGTTCATCCCTTAACGCTTTTAAATTCATTGCTACTTTATTACAAAGTTTTCTATCACTTTCATCACTTGATCCCAAGTTTTTTATGCAATAACTATAATCATTAGGAATAGTTACATTATCCAATTCTTTATATTTTTGGTAAGAAGGCAAATATGGTAATTCTTCTTCCTGTTAATCGGAATGAATATATTCTATAATACATATATGAATACTCATTAATGAAAAGATATTTTATTATTTTTAGAATTATATGAAATATTCAAATAATAAAATATATATATAATTTAAATATACCCATTTCTTATCTGACAAAAGTACCATTTTATATTAAAATATATTAACATAATCAAATACAATAATTACCCACATAGTTACATATAGATGTGTGAAAAAAATAGGGGGCTTGATCTATTACTTTAATTTACATAATTATACGTTGTTTTAAAAAGCTATATACAAGTTTTCCTAATTAAAATCTACACATGCATTATTGTTTTACATAAAACTATTTTAAAACTATATTATTAATTTTATACAAAATAAACCATATTAATTATACATGTATATTCAATGAAAATTCAGAATACAACAGTGAATCTAAAACGTAATATTCTAAAATAAGTTATTATTTTGTAAATATGCAGCTTATCAAGATCATCTATAATTCAACTATTAACCTGTATTAAAAGATATAATTTTAATTTGTCACAATTTTGTATTATAATTTTCATCCAAATGCTTTGGTAATAGTTCTTCTTTGGGATTTATAAGCGTGCTTCTATATAAAAATTCTCTTTTTTTTAACAATAATTATTTCATCTTCTTTACTAAATTATAATACCAAAGATTTTATATCTATGAAAAATATATCTATTTAATTATCTTATTAGGTATTATTTTTACAAATTTCAATAATATATATTTTAATTCCCAATTGTTTAAGTTTTATAAATTATATTTTGCGTTTTATAAAAATTATATCCATGAAAAAGAATTTTTTATAAAATTCCTATCTTAAAAATTTTATGTAAATAATATTAATATATTATTAATTTTTTTACTCCAAAATATTCCTTTCTAATAATTCATAAATACATCGTTGTATATTCGAAAATTGAACAATATAGAAAAATGGAAAAAGTTCAATGTTTTAAATCTATTCTTGATTGTATATCTCGAAATGATTCAATACAGTCTTGTGCACTTGGATGTTTGGAATATTCATTAATATGCTTTCCTATTACAGTATATATGTCCTCATATCCCATGTTTTACTTATTCTATTAAAAATATTTTGTCATAATAATTTTGTTCTTGTTTTTTTAACATTAACAATTTAAATGCTTTCTACTTCTAAGTAATTAAACCTTTTTTCGAAAGTGTGTAATAAAATTAAATATTATTTTAAACAGTTACAGATATAATTATTTATTTTTTAAGCATAACTGCAAAATACTAGTAAAAATATGGTTGTAATGAAACACTTTTTATAAAAAGGGTATTTGAGGGAACCATTCGGAAAATCTTAATGTTTGAAAGAAAAACAAGAACAATTAATTTACTATTAACGCAAAAATATATTATGTAAGATGAGAATTAAAAAGAACTATGTTCGTTTGTAGGTAACGTAATATATACATGTAAATTCTTATATAGATATATGTTGATATGTATAGAAATATTGAAAAGATTAACATATATGTAAGATGGTTTTACCATGAAATTGATAAGGGTACTTTAAATTCATTTCTAATAAAACATAATTTAAGAATTATAAATGTGAGAAAGCATGAATAGTGACGAGTTATAATTTCCTCGCACTGTCCTATTTCATGAAAAAAAATTTAAGAGTGCGTTTTTCATTGTCCATAATACGACACTAATTTATTTGTATTAAATACGAATTTGTTTTTTCTTTCTTTTTTATTTTAAGAATAATATATACAGAATTAAGCATCATTACAAAATTATATTGTATAGTTATTCTTTTTTTCTTTTTTTTGGGTGAAATCATGAGTCTGATCACATATTTTTGCTGTTTAATGGTTAATACAATTCCCTCTTTTTGTGTATAAAATGGATTACCATATAAGATAACACAAAAACAAATAACTACATTGTGAATCTTATAGTATATCAATTAGTTTTCTAAATTAAATTGTTCTAATGGCATGGGCACACTTATATTATTTTTTATTTAATTTGTTTATTCGTTGTGTTCTTGGGGATAATGAGCGAGATTAATCAATTCTTTTCATTGTTACTCTTTTAAATAATTCTATTATTAAAAAAAATTAATATTTTATTATGCAATAATTAAATAGTATATTCTAATATGATTAAGAACTGTGAATGTTGTTAATCAACTTTAATAATAAATACGGTTACTCTATATTATTTAATAATAATTGCTACTTTATCTTTAATCTATAGTGTAAAGTTTTGTGCAACAACAATATATAAAAATGTATTTCCCAATTTATTATTAATTTATATGTCGTAAACATAACAATCCCATGTTATACATGTGAATAATTCAAGAACAGAATTCTTTGCTCCACTGTATGAAAAACATCTACAAATAGTTAGTAACAAAAAAAAATAAAATCTTGCATTTGAATAGCAATGCAAAATGTATAACCTAGAATTATTATGGTCCCAGAACTATATGGAAACAATTATACGTTATATTTTAATGCATATATATATATATATATATTAATACATTCTTAAAATTTTGACAAAATATGTTTCTTGTGTAACATAAAATTATACATGTTAAACTGAAATAATTTAAACCTAACTAATTATGTAAAAAATAGAATTCTAAATTATAATATTTTATTTTTTAGTTATAATTATAAAAGTACATATGAAATTTTGGCTTCATATTTTCTTACATAAAATATAGACAGGAAAAAGGAAACAACGTATTATATATATTGCTCTGTTATTATATTAAACTGAATTATAATAAACTTCAAATGGAATAAAAATATATTATACACAAATTAGTGTCATCAATGTTCGTAGAGCCCATGTTATTTCCATTGAATTAAAAATGTTAAACACGTTTAACATAAGCATATAAACTAGTCATATTAACGAGTACAAAAAAATAAATTTACAAATATAATACAAAAATTAATAGGAACTAAATAAAATACAATAAGGAAGATAATGCCTAAAGAGACAATTAAATAGAAAACGTTAATATTTATGATTAACTTGTTAAAATGAATGTGCATACAATGAATCAATAGATATATTTTTTTTACTTAAATTAATTAAAATCAATCAAATTTTCACAAGAAAATTTCAAAATGTACTATTTTTTATCTATAAATTTCTTAATATTATTTTTTATTAAACTATCTATATAAATTTTATGTGCCATTTTTTTATATCTGTTGTTTTTTTATCTCTCATTTCTTAATTTTTCAGTAAAGTAAAATTATTTTTATCACACGAATATATACGTATAATTAACAGATTTTTCCCACGATTTTTTAGACAAATTAATTTTTTCTGTTATAAAATTATGTGAAAGTTTACTTTTAACTATTATAATTAAGTCCTTCATCTCTAAGTTTTTTTATGCGTGTATCACTTCTAGATGTTCAATATTCATTGACTTGGAATACATATTACTTATTTTTGAAATTATTTAAATAATTGAAGTATTTCTTTTTATGTCATTACTTTTACTGTTACCTTCTTCCTCATAATACGATTTACTCAAATAATAATACAATGTTTTCTTACATAAATGGTTGTTCGAAATGTTTTCATATCATACACTTAATTAACCAAAATAATCACGCCTAGGTTCATATGATAAATATACCTCACTTATTGAGGGATTTGTATGTTCTAATTCTGACCCATATTCTGATAATTCTTCTTCGTCTTTATTACAATAATTACTCTCATATTCTCTTTTTCTTTCATCCATTTTATTTAATTGCGACCCTAATGAAGTAGACTAATAAAAAAAAAAAAAAAAAAACTCACGAAGATTTTGCTTCATAATTACACGTATAAATGTATAGTATAAATATTATCACGAAGTTTTTATTCCATAATATATAATTCTAAGTTACCATAAAGAAAAATATAAGGAAGGAAGCTACCAGAACTATTGAAGTACCCAGAATTAAGTGACGAAAATGCTTTGGATATAGTATATCATATATTCTTTGGAGAAAATTAGAAGAATCGACAATATCCTCACGAGGTGTAAGTATAGTTCTAGAATCATTATGACGGACATCATAACTTTCATGTGAAACGTGAACTACTGTTTGATAATGTATAGGATCTGCTTTATATAGAGATTCTTTCTCTTCTGAAGATTCTAATGTTAAAGTCCTTGAATCTGATGGAATTGGTAATCCCGGACTTTGTGAATCTTTAGAATTTTGACTTGACAAATCTTGACCTGGTGAATCTTGTATTGGTGATTCTGCAGGACCTGAATTTGGTAGACTTACTGCATTTTCAGGTTTTTCACTTTTTAAAGTTTCTTCATTTTCTACTTTCCTCACATTTACATCCATTACATTTTCATGTCCTTCATTTTTACATTCATATAATTTACTTATTAATTCATCTGGTTTATAGCTAGGAGAACAATCAGCGTAATTAGGACCTGAAGACCAAAATATAAAACCCTTACAGTCTTGCTTCTTATACTTTTTATACAAGGCATTAATGTTATTAAGTTATGTAATATACATATTACATTTTTCTTTAACTCCTTGGATGATAATACCTTTAATAGTACTATATTTTTTTAGGTAAATATAAGAAAGTTTTCTATTTTTCCATTCTTCTAAACTAACATTATAGTCATGTGTTTAATATGCAATTATGTTGTTTAACTTCAGCATTAACCTTATTCATTACATCAATAAGATTTTTAAAAAATGGTATATTACCTGTTTTTTCTGAATCTTTTTTATATATATATCCTACTTTATCATGCAACCAATAAGTTAAATAATCACAATAATCATAACGCTTTCTCCAATCATTAACTTGGGGGATTTTTCTTAAGTAATTAATTAGGTGACCGCAAAGATCATTGATCTCATTATAATCATTATGTTTGTCCACACTGTTACAATAATTAATTGAATTAGATTTTTCATCATCTTTAAAAAATTCTTCAAAAATATTATTAAGATTTAAGCTCTTTGAAACGTCGTCCTGAAAATGGCAGAAACAGTGATGTCGTATGTACTAAAACAAGTTTTTAACAATAAATATATAAATTTTGCTATATTAGAAAGAATTTATGTAATCGCTAAGGAATAAATAATAATCTGTGTGTATATATTTACCAAATTATCCGTAGTTGTTTGATTCACCATTTTTTTTTATCATAATTTTGAAATTCTATATGTTTTCAAACTACATGCACTAATATATAAAACATTCTTGAAATCTAAATATATACACACTGGTTGACAATATTATTTACTAATATATTACACTATTTTTCTTGAACTCTATTTAAGTAAAAAGGATCCATTTTTAAATATTATAAGAAAAAAACCCAAAACAACAAAAACATTAAAAGATATATAACAATATAGGAAATGCAGTAACTGCTTAGTTATTTAATTGTTATATTATAGCGCCAATTATAAATTAATGAAGATATTCTTAATTTCTTTGTTGAATTATATATAAAATGATTTATCCTATTTTTTGAATATTTTTTAAATACAATTTCAAATATTGTTGATATTAAATGATTTTGCCGTAATAATAATGATGTCGTGTTGTAAACTATTTTGCGCCATCAAATTGTTCATACTACTACCCGAAGTATTTATAGCAGAATGTAATTCACGTTGTGACATTTATAATTAATATAATTAAAAGAATTATACGAATGGAAAAAATAAAAACTAGCTTGAATATTGTATAACAAACAAATATTGCTGGGAAATATTTTAAAAAATACATTGATATAACATTTTTTTACTAAATATTGTGTTGTTTCAGTGGTCTCAAATATTATAATTACAACGTTAGGAAGTTCCATTAATATTTTACACTTTTTAATAAGTATATAAATCAATTTAATATTGTGCATTATTTTTCTTTTATTCTTACCCTTAAATCATACATTTTTTTTTTTTTTTTAGTAACATTATAAAAAAATACACGTGATTACACAATTTGGAACAATTTTTTTGCTGAAAGAAGGTAGTTTCACCATTTTAAAATGGTAAAAAAAGATGATAAAATTTTATATATTTCTAAGATAATAGAAACGTGCCTGTAAACATTGAAACACATTAATTAAACCTATAAAGAATTACATGTTACGAACCCCTTTTTTTTCCACATGTGTATTTATTATTAGACAGAAGAACCAATACATATAATAAAGTATATTATCATTTTATGAAATTAAATTTATGCAGGCATTTTACATAATCTGTTTTTTCTTAATATTAATAAAACTGAATATTGCTTTACGTAAAAAAATTCAAATAGTTATAAGAAATAATAAATCTGTTCTCTCTTCAGATACATCACTGCGATAAACATTTTATCTAAATTGAGGATATTATATATTTTACATAATTACAGATCTACACATTAATTAATATAGTATGTTCCACATATAGTTAGACATAAGACAAAACTCACTGAATTAATTATTACTCCTTAAATTCGTGCATAAGGAATTGTTAATTTATTAGAATATTATTTATCAGGCTGGTACAAAATGAATGTATATTTTTTTTCTTTAACTTTTTCTGTGTAATCAATCATAAAATACCTCTTTAAATATATATTATTATATAAAGGTGAAACATTTATTTAAGGAATTACGTAACAACCATATATTTATTTTTTCTTATGCTGTATTTTTATCCAAATAATTAAATTCTGTGTATTAAGTAAAAATATTTTATTTAAAATATATATAGCATTCATCATCTAAATTTTTTTATAAAACACTCAGTTAAAAAAAAAAAACACAGTAAATTAATGCATTATTTTAATTTTCGCCTCACATCATCCAATAACAATACTTAACTAATACTAACCACCCTTTAAATATAAATAAAAATGCAAAGAATAGTAAAAGGGGGACTAACGTTATTAAATACATATATTTGAATATTCTTATATTTTTCATAAATTAATGTAATGATTTATAAAAATCGTAGAATTCCTTTTTCTTTTCACATTTGATATACATATTTGTACATTTAAGACATTATGTTTTTTTAAAATTATGTAAACTATTCCCTTCGCTCGTTTTATTATTATAAATGTAAAAATTTTTAATATTCTTTATGTTAAATGATTTAACATAATTTTAACAATTAATTTACATATTTATTTGATTAATTACTATTTATATTTAACTTTTGCTTCCATTGTATTGAGATTCTCCGAATAAGAACACACTCTCTCAATAAAATTAATTTTTCACATTGGACAATGTATTTGCCCGTATAATAAATCGTCTGAATTAGGCAGAAATTTTTTTTTTACAATTTAGTAGAAATTTTGTATACATTTTTTGTTAGTACTTTTTTGTAGGATACATGAATATGGTAACTTATCGTTTTAATAACCTTTTATGAAAAAAGAATTTTAGCAAAATTATATTATTTTCTTTTTATATTTTAATATTAGGCGTATTGATTAATGAGGTTATTATAAAAATATCAAATTAACCTATTTTAAAAAATATCTCTTCCATTTGAAGAAACGAAATTCATTTTATATATGGACATATGATTAATGGTATATAATAACACTAAAAAAAAATTTAAATGTACAAACATAATTTGTTTCAATACATAAAATATATACGTTTCTTTTTTCTGTTTAAACTAATATTAAACTGAATAATGCATGAAGGTATATGCTTCTCCATACCTTTCCAATCAGTTGATTTTACGTCGGATATTTAATAAATATAGTACCATTTAGGATAATAGACTAAAAGCGTTTGTCTCTTTTGAACCTTTATGTTAAAATATTTTGGAATATACGTGAACAATTTCTTCTATACCTAAGCTCTAACTTCACCTATATCATAATCCAGAAGGTAATATATAACAGTGTTCCAGACACAATCTTTAATATATTTTTACGTGTCCTGGTCTTTAACGGAGAAAAATTATATAATAAAGAAAAACATAAAAATATATAGGTTCTTATATTATAGTAATATTTTTTTAGCAAAACAATTGTTGTACGCACGGCACATTTTACATATTAAAAAATTTCCCCTTATAATGAATGAGAAAAAAATGAAAATCAGCGGACTGTCAAAAGGGATGACATACACATGAGTGTAAAATTTTTATTTAACATAGAGTTTACATACTTTAGATTAATAGAAGAAATGGAATTTTTTGAAAGTAAAATACTAATACCTTTTAATCAGTACCTAGTAAATAGTTTAAAGCGATTAGATCCAGTTTCAAACATGCCCTGTTTACTGTATTTAACTAACTCATTTTTTACGAAATGGTTTTTGCAAATAATTTTTCCATTTTTATTTAATTGTGTATTACAGTGTAAAGATATGTATCTTCTTCGCTGGATAATTTCAGACACACTCTCTAACTGAATCAGCATTTATGTTTCACTTTGTGAGTTGTTACACCTTTCCTTCACGCTTTTATTAAAAGTTAAATATCCGAATATATTTTTTTGTTTATTGCGTGTACTATAAGATAACATCAAAGAAATATTTATTTTTTCTTTTTATAGAGAACACAAATTGAATGTAACATGGTTTTCTCTATTTTTGATTTAAATCTAAAATATTTTGTTCCCCATTGCTTGATCCATACACATGTCTCAATATTTTTTATGTCTATTTAAGAAGAAGAACATTCATTATATATTAATTGTGTAAAGAAGATATACTTAATAGAATTTCCATGACCTTAAAAATATATTATAATATTTCTGCACATCTAAGGAAAACAACCCATTTAACATTTACTGTATAATTTCTTCATTATGTTAACATATTTATCTAATGTCATTTCTTATAATTTTTGGAAAAGTAATTCCTTATAATATTATAAACAAATATATTTCTTTATACTATACTTTTAAAATATTTTTATCAAAATTATAGAATGTAGAAATAAAATTTTTGTGTCCATTAATGAACAGACCGTTAAATTGTTCCTGAGATCATTTATATTACAAAGCATTGTATATAATAATAACATTTCCCCATATACATTAATTAAAGGAAACTTAATTATGTATTCTTACAGGATAAACCATATTTCATTACATTATCAGATTTTTAGCCTTAAACTAAAAATAATTTTGTCTATTAGTATGAACTCCATGTTTAGTTGCATTATAGCAACATTTTTAATTAATTTCATTACACTCCATTTCTTCATTGAATATTATAAATATGTTGTACGAATAGGAATTTGCAAAAATAACACCCTAAAAATTAAGGGGACAACATCTGTTTATACAACTATTAATATATATTTTCAGAAGCATAAAAATTATGGCTTTTTTAACTAATATCTATAATGAAGGAGTTATATCGTTGAAATATGTGTAATTATTTGAAATAAAAAATTATGTTTTCATCCTCATATATTGAGTTAATTCTATATTATATTTAAAAATAAACCGTTCAATGAATATGGATATGAGATGAATACATACACCTGTGAAGTTATATTGTATGCAATGAAAACATTTTCTTTAACTCACAACAATTTTGTGAACTAAACAATTGAATTTTAGTAAATTCTACCTTTTTTAATTTTGTTATAGAAAGGTGTTATTATATTGGTGTACATGTCACATAAAGTAGAAATCTTTAATTATTAAAAATTTATAATTAAATATTTATTTACTGAGTCTAATGGATTAAAATATTATGAGTACGTAATTTAGGGCGGGGGATGTTTATTTGTAATAAAATATATATAATTATTTAATAAGTAAAATATAAAAAATGATTTTTAATTTTTATAAGAATGTAATAAGTTTCCTGTGATATTATACAAATAAAGATTTCACAGTTTTTGTTAGAGATTATCAATAATTGTGTAATCTTTTGATGAGAATATCAATTTTATCTATTTATGAATAATGATGTGTGTATTAAAATACATAAGATCTAGGTTATTCTAATTAATATACTTTGTTTTATGTAGAGGTTGTATATAATTCATCAGTTTCTTAATCGCTTAGAACAGTAGTTTACAAAATTATATAAGGAAAATTTAATGCTATAGAATAAATAATATATATACTGTAAGTTCAATTTTCTTACATTTCAAATGTCTACATTGTGACAAAATATTTTTATTTATATTATAACATTTTTAAATAACTT